GTTGGGGCCATCTCAGGACAGGAAGGCAACTTGGTCTTCCTGGGAGAAGCCTGCTCAGGTGACCCTCATCTTCTGGGACGTGGAGCGGAGCTTCATCAATGACTTCGGTGGGCCTTAGACATTATTGTCTTAGTGGGCCCCTCCCTCCATAAAAAAATGCAATCATATTTTATCAAACTGAGAATACATCAGTATTGTATAGTGAGACATTTTCCTTGCCCTAAAAGCTTATTTTCTTTTCTGATATTAAAAGAAATGGAGGGCCAGCTGATTGGCTCAGTTGGTTAAGAGTTGGCTTAAGAGAGAGAGCTCTGAGCAACAGGGCCGCCGGTTTGATTCCCACATGGACCAGTGACGCTGTGCCTGAGCTGAGCTGCTGCTGAGCTGCCAACAAGTGGCAGGTTGGCTCAGCTGGTTTAACAACAAGATTGCCTGTTTGATGATGGGCTATGCCCACCCGCAACTAAGACTGAACTCGGCACCTTGAGCTGAGCTGCCACCCAGATGGCTCAGTGGATAGAGCGTGCGCTCTTAACAAGGCTGCTCGTTCGACTCCTGCATGGGATAGTGGCTACGCCCATCTGCAACTAAGATTGAACTCGTCACCTTGAGCTTAGAGGCCATGAGCTGCCGATGGGAAGCCAGATCGCGACCGGCACCCTCCACAACAAAGAGTGAGGAACAACTTGGCTGGTCCCTTTCCCCAATTCCCCAATAAAATCTTAAAAAAAAAAAGAAAAGAAAAGAAAGAAATGGAAACCTTTTTTAGGCCCCTGTGCACTGTGCCTGCTGTGCCCAGTGAACGCGCCCTGCAGGCCTGGACACACACTCATTTGAATGTCCGTCTCTCATCAAACACGTTCCCGGAGCTTGCGGAGGGCGTTCTTTGTGTGCTGACCTCTAGGACTCTGCCGAGAGATGCATCTTTGGCCCTGTCATTGATACGAGTGTCCAGGAGAGCTCAGAGAAGAGGAAGCAGCAGGCCGAGTCCTTGAGGATGCCCCGGGAAGAACCCCCCCACCCCAAGAAGGTGGACTAGGAGGCCGGAGGTGTGGCTGGGGATGGAACGGTGGGGTCTTACTTAGCTGAGGGTGGGGAATATTAGTGGAGCTCAGATCTGCTTATGTGAGGCCTGGGTTCTTCAGCACTGGGCCAGGGAATTTTCCGGCCCCTGGATAAAGCCTAACTCCTGAACAATGCTTTTCAAGTGGGGCGATTTTATCCCCCCAGGTGCCATTTGGTAATGCATGAAGACAGTTTTGATCGTCACAACTTAAGGAGGGGGACAGTGGCACCTGGTGGGTAGAGGCCCAGGGTGCTGCTCAGCATCCTACCATGTATAGGACAGCCACTATGAAGAGCCACCTGGTCCCTGTGCCATTAGTGCTGAGGTGGGGAGCACCTGGTCCAGAGGATGTGCCAGGCATTGGGTTCAGGCGAGTGAGCATTCCCTGCTTCACCCAGAGAACGTGTCATTGTAGCCACCGGAGACTGGCCTAGGGGTGGGCAGGCGAGCCTCCTCCCAAGAGAGAGGAGCCAGTTGGGCTTCTGAGAATCACAGGCCTCTGACAGTGGAGTGGATGGCTCCAGCAGTGGCGGCAGTGTGTTTCTCCAGCCCTCGTCTAATTCCCATGTGAGTAGAACACAGGGTGTTGAGTGCTGGAAATGGTGTTGAGGTCTCCAGATATTTCTCCCTGTCACTGTCGGCAGGAAGCCAGCAATGTGCGGTGAGGATGGGGTTATGCCAAGGGTGACCTCAGGTACAAGGGTTTGGGCAAGGGCAACTGGGGGCTTCCCAATGCAGCAGGGGACCAAGGACTTTTCTAGGCACCCTTGCTGTCCTCCTCCTGTGATCCCTGGGCCAGTGCCTGCAGGGATGGGGACAGGGAGTAGCCTGAGAGTGTCCCACCAGGTCTAGTGTAGAGGATCCTGTAGAGATGGAAATGGCAGGAAAACCGAGGTGGCGAGAATGGGGATGACAACCCCCCCCCCACACACACACACACACGTGCCATCTGCCTTATGCTTTGAAGGTTAACGTAAAGGAGATGGAGAGGTGCTGAGTCAGACCGTCCGAGTAGGTTTTTTCCCACTCTCCCAAGCTTCTCTCCCCTAGCCTCCTGCCCTCTACCTCTGTTATCTAAGAAGGAAAAGGGGTTGGTTGTCTTCATGGTTGGCCCCACCTACCTGACCAGTCCCAGAGGGCTGCCCTGTGCAGATCTGGTTGGGCAGGGACAATGTGCAGCCAGGCAGAGTTTCTAGGTGTCTCCATGCTGTGGAACCTGGTGGGCAGCTGAGCTGGGGAACTGGGACTCCTTCTGGAGCCTCTGGGTTTCTGCTGTTTGAGCCTCAAAGAGGCATGGTGGGAGAGGAAAGTTGGGACCAACTGATGGGTCTGATCGAACAGGATGGAATAGGACTCCCACCCCGCTTGGTGGCAACTGCTTCAAATCGGCCTTTCCCTGCCGGTGGTGTTGGGGCATCTGGAACAGGATTTAATCTGCGCTTGGTTTATTTATGATAAAACCCAGGCTACTCAGAGCCCCAGGGACAATAGCCTTTCTCGAGAGGAGTTTTCCAGGTTTCGGAGGGATTACGCATTTAAATATTTCAATTTTTAATTTTTTATAAAGTTTAACCATTTTGAATAGAAATCTTTTTTTTTTGTTTTTTTAAAATGTTGAATACTTGACATGTGAACCCCTGCCCCTTTTTGGCCATCTCAAGGTTATCACCATATCCGCACAGCTCATATTTTGGGGGTACATGATGTGGAAGTGCTCAGGGTCACTGATGGGTGGAGTTGTTGGCCATGACTAAATGTCCCCGGAGTTCTTATTTTTTATTTTTAGTGTCCTCTTTCCTTCCTGCCATTTGATACTCCTCGCCTCTCTGTCCACATGCCTGCCTTCTTCCCCTTTTAATTTTGTTGATTTTATTCTGCGGTGGCCTTGGAAATCAGCCATCCAGAAATCAGGCTTACTGGAGCAATGCTGCTGTGAACTGTTAGGGTTCTTCATGTGCTGGTTCTCCCTGCATCTTGTGAGGAAGGCAGGCACCTGAGCTTGACTGACAATGCACAGACGTGGAGACAGCTCTTCTGATGCTCAGGGGCTTATCTCCCTCTGCCTCCTGGTTCTTGGTTGGGTTCCACATTGCCGAGGTAGCAGATAACTGAGGCAGTTGTCGTCGCTGTCATCATTAGCATCGTCATCAAAGTAATCACTACCACCGCCATGACGTAGAGTTTCTGTGTTCCAGGCCGTAACATATGCTCAACAGTTCTGCGAAGTAGGAAACTATTATTATCTATCAATTTACAGTTAAGGAAATGGAGGCACAGAGAAGTTATATGTGCAGGAGAAATGCTGTTGGTATAAAAAGTGGCAGAGCAGGGACTGAACTGAGGACGCCCTCGTACCCAGTGTTTGCCCGTCTGTGGATGATGTGCCAGGTTCTAGAAGGGATCCTGCTGTAGCCAGTGAGGACTGACCAGGCATCAGGGGACGGGAGGGCAGGGGAGGGGGGGATGGGAGCAAACGGAGCAAACCTCTGGGGAACACTTCTGTTTGCCAGAGACGTGCTGGGGCCTCGTCACCAGGAATCTGCTGGAGCACACTCAGTGAATGTAGGTGCCAGCCACTCCCCCCGCCCCCCATGGCATGGAGGAGCGCCCCATCGCTTAGGTGGTGCATGAGTGAATACCACAGCTCACAACAGCCCAGAGCAGGTATCACAACCCCCTTTTCACAAGTAAGGGCCAGCTCTTCCCGCCACACGACACAGCCCAGGACAGCGACCATCTATCTGAGACCACCACACCATGTCTAAATTCCGAAGGGACTGCCAACCACTAGGCACTTAGCCTGAGACGTGTGTGTAGAAATATTTTTAAGCGCCCCATTCAGTTGTGTTTGGGGCTGTAAGTTTCTGAAGTCTCTTTAAAAGGGAAGAGAAAACATGTAAGATTTGTTTAGAAACTCTCCCTCTGCCCCCAGGTCTTTTTGGGACCTGCAGGGGAGCCACGCTGGGCAGCGGGGATGCTGAGGCCCTGTTTGCTCTGTTGTGTTTACAAGGGGCTGTTTGCATTCCGGCTCGGGGCCTCGTCTCCCTGGTTCCCGCTCTTCCATACGGTTCTGTTCCCCTGGCTGGACATGCCTAAGCCAGCGTGAGACCGTGGTGGTTGGGGGCTGCTGTCAAGGTCCCTTCCATCTGAGCTGTGCACACAGTAGGAGCCTTTCCCTGTCGTTGACCAGCTAGCGGTTTAAGAAAGCTGAAAGAGGCTTAACAGATGCTCCTTGGACAAACGTCTGGACGCGATAAGATGAAACCTCAAAGTCGAGGGAGTCTTCGTTCCTGTTCTTGGGGCTCTTGTAACGGGGGATGGCAGTGGCATGCACAGCTGGACGTGGGGACAAGGCAGGTCACTGGGATACTGCTGTAGCAGCCCTTGGAGCAAGGCACTAGGGGAATGAGAGGAGGGGGCAGCCGGGCAAAGGAAGAGTCACAGAAGGGGGTGATGGAAACTAGGTTCTGGGGTGACGTGGTGGCACCTTCTCACTCGCTCGCCAGACATGGCAAGGCCATGTGTTAAAAGCTCACCCAATCCGTGCCCTGTCAGACCATGAAGGCTGAATCCCTTAAGTTGGGGATTAGTGGCAGGTGACACTGGGAGGTGTTTTCTAGGGAAGAATGATGATGACCCGAGAAGGGACTTAATCCCATCCCATGGTGGGGGCCCAGAAGACATGTTCATCCTTCTTTGTTCTGCCCCCGCTTCCTAGGACGAAGGCAGAACAGAGCAGGCGGTTAAGGGAGGGTGCTAATAAGGCCCACCTCAGAGCTGCTGTGAAACCGAACTCCATAATCCACGTAAATCGCTCAGCACAGTTGCTAAGATGTTAGCTATCTCTGTCCTCATTATCAGGGGTCCTGACAGTCCCTGGAGGGCCCATCTCTGGGTACTGGACCCGGAGCTTTTCTTCACTTCCTCTCTGCAGACAATGGCGATGACCACTCCGAGGGAGGCCTGGTTGAGAACCACGTGGTCGGGACCACGAACATGTTAGGAGGCGGAGGCAGTGCTGGCCGGAAGCCCTTCACGTCGGGCATGAAGGAGCTGGCGGTGTTACGGGAGAAGGTCACGGAGCAACACCGCCAACTGGGCAAAGGTGGCAAGCATCACCTCGGCCTGGAGGAGCCCAAGAAGCTTCGGCCCCCACCTGCCAGGGTGAGAGGGGATGGGGTTGGGGCTGGTCAGAGGGGTGGGAGGATATGCAGCGGGAGTCTCCCAGCAGGGGAGGGCGCCCCAATAAGATCCATGTCCTGTGTTGCCTGCATGTAAAGTACTTTCCGGTTCTGCCCCTAATATTCAGTGGCCTCCAGGCTGAGCAGCCCAGCAGTATCTGTGGGGGCCTCAGTGTCTATGGCTGTGAAATGGATTGGGCATGCGGTTGTTTGAAGTCCCTTCTAAAACGCCCACATTTCTGCTTGGCTTTGGGACCTAGGTGAGGAAAGAGGATGTTAGACATGACGCTGGATCCACTTGAACGTGCTCGTTCTCGTTGCGATGCCCTCCCCGTTGCGATGCCCTCCCCTCACTCAGCTTGCCCCGTCCTCTTTCCAGCCTAGCTCTGCTGTCTTGGGTCTTGATCTCAGTTGGGTTTATGGAAAGGAATGGAGCTTGGGCCACTGGGTTGGGGTAGAGGTATCTAGAGACAACCACTTGAATTCAGTATTTGCAAGTAGGTCCCATCTTGACCCCTGAAAGCCATTGACACAGAGTGAGGGGAGGAGTGAAAACTCACACCATGCAACTTTCTTTAGGGATGGGCGAGGCACCATGGTGAGCGCACTGGGCTGGAGTCAGAGATCCCTGTTCCTCCAACACTCCCTGTGTGGCCTTGGGGAAGTCCCTTCCCGTACATGAGCGTTCTAAGCTTGCTCCAGGGCCAGTGTTTTGTGAACTCATTCTCTAAGAATCCTCTGTGCCCATCTGTGCCCACAGACCCCCTGCCAGCAGGAACTGGACCAGGTCCTAGAGCGAATCTCCACCATGCGCCTTCCAGATGAGCGGGGCCCCCTGGAGCACCTCTATTCCTTGCACATCCCCAACTGTGACAAGCATGGCCTGTACAACCTCAAACAGGTGAGAGAGGATCTCCTCTGCCCTGGGCCCCTGGTGTGCCTTGTTTCTGCTTCACCTACCTGGAATCGTCTGCGGTCTGAGAGCCAAGCCCAGGAGAGCTAGACTTCTGTAAGGTGATGGGGATGTCACCTGCCAGTGTGAGGGCTGGGGCTTCCCTCCCTGGCCTCGGGCCTGGCAGGGGCTGACTCCACTTACCCAGCTACCCAGCAGCAGCTCTTGTTGTCCAGGTTGGGAGCGAGCCTCTTGGAGAAGAGCTGTGTGTGGGCTTACACCAATATGTCCCAACATTTATTGAGCATTAGTCACCTGTAAGTTATTCCCAGGCCTGACCCCCCAAGACTGCCATTCAGAAGGTTGGGGGTGGATCAAGAGTTTGCATTTCTAACAAGCTCCCAGGGCATGCTGATGGTCTGTGGACCACACTTCCAGAGTCACTGATGTAAAACCATTGACCAAGTAGCCTCTGATTTTCACGGATCTCAGGGAATGGAGAATCAGGGATGGAGAAATGTCACTTAAAGTATTTCTAAAAATGGTACTAGAACAGCAATGGAAGTGCATTAGAGAAAATTAGGAAAGTGTGAGTAAACCACCCGGAGCCCTCTCCTCCCGCCCCTTGTACTCTGTTCTAATCATCTGCCTTCTAATCATCAATGAGCTCACACAGTATTTCTCTAGATCGTTATCGGCATTTTTCATATAGCCGCATAGAGTTTGTGGTGATGATTGTTATTGTTAGTTGGCTGTTTAATATTGATTGGTTGGCCTTTTAGCCAGCCTACCCCTCACCTGCTTCAACTCATCCCCTCTATCGGGAGAACAAGTTTATATGCCTGTCACTTCAGGTGGAGAGAAAGGATGGGAGGCAGAGGGGTGAGGAGTAGGGGCTCCACCAGCCATCCCATTTCCTGTTTTCAAGCAGCAGTTCTGAGCCCTGGTTCTGAGCCCTGGCTGCACAGGGGGACCTGCTAGGCAACTTCAAAAAAGTACAGATGCCAGGGCTGCCCCTCCAATGTTTCAGGCTTTGTGAGTCTGGAGATCTTGCTGGGTACCAGAATTTTCAAAACTCCCCTGGTGATCCTGGTGGGCAGTCAGGATTGACATAAAGGGTGGGTGTGTGGAGCCAGGAGATGGGATATGAGGCTCTGCTGATCCCTGAGTGGGTGTTTCTCACTTCTCCACTTCTTTCCCGGTGCAGGCACCTTGCCTCTCTCTAAATGTCATCCTAGTGTTAAAAGCTGTTTGTGCACGTGCCCTCTGAATGTAAGCCAGCTACCTCATTGCGAGCTCAAAAGAACTAGTGATCTCTTCTAATGAAAAACAGGCTGTGTGCTGTACCTTACGGGTAACTCAAGGGATTTGCAAGAGTCCCGCATTTGTGGGTAGAGTAGGGACCCTGGGGAAATGCCTGCATTTGCATATCAGCTATGGCTCTTACTAGCTGTGTGACAGTGGGTAAATTAATCCACCTGTGCTGCAATATCCTCTGTAAAGAGGTGAAATAATGATACCTAATTCACAAGGTGATTGTGAGGATTAAACAAATACAGTAATATCTTGGGTTGCAAGCATAATTTGTTCCGGAAACAAACTACTCGTATTGCAAGACATTGCTCGTTTACCACGTTAAAATGTATTAGAAATGTTTGCTCGTCTTGCAACACTCACAAACCATGTTACTCGCAATCCAAGGTTTTACTGTATATACGTTAGATACAAACTGTAGACGAGCAGCGTAAAGATTGCTTTATGGGGTCTGGCACATAGCAGGACCTGTGCTAGCCTTTACCATTATGTGCGTTTTTCACTTCACATGATGACTAAACTTCAGTATATCGGGTCCCCTGCTGGATGGGACCTCCCTGCAGCTGAGGGCTGAACCTTTTCATCTTTGAGTGCCCCCCACAGCCTTGCTAATCAGAACTTGGTCCCTGGGCCAGTAGCACCAGTGTCACATGGGAGCTTGTTAGCCATGCCGACCCCAGACCCACTGAACGGGAACCTGCATTTTAGCAAGATCCCCCGGCACCCATTCAAGGTTAAGAAGCACGGACCTGCACCGCTGGCTTGGTGCCACCATAGCTGCTCAGTAAACCTTGGGTTGAGCGACGAGAGGAAAGATGGCAGCTGCAGGGGCACGTTCTTCATGTCTCCTTTTCTCCCCTCAGTGCAAGATGTCTCTGAACGGGCAGCGTGGGGAGTGCTGGTGTGTGAATCCCAACACCGGGAAGCTGATCCAGGGAGCCCCCACCATCCGGGGGGACCCCGAGTGTCATCGCTTCTACAATGAGCAGCAGGAGTCTCGCGGGGTACACACCCAGCGGATGCAGTAGACCACAGCCAGCCCCATGGCCAGCCGGTGCCTGGCACCCCTGTCCCACCCCCTCTCCAAAGACCTGCAGAGAGGAGAGTGCTTGGGTGGTGGGTGGGGGAGGATTTCCCAGGAGATCTGACACATGTATTTATATTTGGAAAGAGACCAGCACCGAGCTCGGCACACCCCGCCCCCATGTCCCCCCAGTGCCTTGCCCCTCCCAGCGGGAGAGGCCTGTACCTTCCCTACTCCAGCCCCTGCTGGGGAGGAAGGGGTGGTTGCAGAGGCAGAGCTGGGGTAAAGGTTTGGGAGGGGGGAAACGGAATTTTTATTTTTGAACCCCTGTGTCTCTTTTGCTTAAGATTAAAGGATGGAAAAATAAAGCGTGTATGTCTTTTGCTTGGGTCTTTGCCCCGCCTACCCCCGCAAGAGGTCCCAGGTCCTGTTGACCTTCCACCCCAACTCCAGGGGAAGTGGGAAGGCATATCCTCCGTTTCCCATTCATAAAACAAGAAGAGGGCTGCGGCAGGAATAAGGTGGATCTCCTCTTCTGAGTGGCCTTGGCCTGTGAAACGAAGTTCTGAATCCATGTGGGATCCTCGTGGGCAGCCCCAGGATCCGGTGTCCCCAGTCTGGACACCCAGCTGAGGCCCTGGCCCGTATCCTGCCTCGGGGTGGGCATTGAGTGAGAAGAGGTGGAGCCGGTGTCTGCCTTCCTCTTACCTACATTCAGGTGACACTGCAAAGGGAGAAAGGCACAAGGAAACATTGGAATTGGGAGCCTCTGGCTCCTGAAGTAAGGAGAGCTCCCTTCTGCATAGCGAACTCAGCCCCCAAAGAACTGGAGCGGGGCTGCTGTAGGCCAGTATATTCACAAAGGTGCTGCCTCCCAATTCAGGCCCTGCTTTCTGAGGGGCCCAAGTCCCTGGCTCCAGGACAGCACATGTTAACAAAGGGACTAGGGAGACTGACAGATGTGGACTCGATCTCTGAAGCCTCTCAACCCCTGGTGAGTTCCAGGGGGGCCCCCCAGCTGCAGTGGGCCATGGGGAAAGGCGTGCTCAGTGTTTTGAGGCCCACTACACCCTTCTTCCCTTCCCCAGCCCAAGCACAGAGCCCCACCTTTCTTGTTACCCCCTCTTCCGTGTCGAGGAGGGGACGCGAGGCTCAGGAGAAGCAGAACACCTGGGCCCTTACCTGGGTAAGATGAGCTTGTCTTCTGGGAGTAGGAGAAAGCCAAGTCCCCCAAAGCAGACAGATCCCCGGTCATTGTGCTAGGCTGCACCAGGCCAAAGAAGGCAGGACGTTTGGTCCCTCAGCTAGTGGTGGGCCGCCCCGGAAATACATTCATTCAGTGAATCCTCATAAGTCCACAAATGAGGAGCTATTTATTAGTTCCACTTGACAGCTGCGGAAAAGGTCCCCAGAAGTGCCCAACCTCCACATCCCAGGGCCTTGGGGTCCCCTAACACCCCAGAACGTGGATGCTACTCAGCCTTTGAGTTATGCTGCCCCCTAGTGGATGGAAGCAGGGCGGGATGCTTAGAGAGAGCCTGCAGAACTTTGGCCACGGGTAGGATCTGCGCCCTTGAAGCCAGCTGCCCCTACTTGGAGTCTCATTTTTTTCATCCATTGATGGCCGCTCAATCACCGCTCTCCCGTCCCTTCAGTGGTAGTCAGCAGCTGGTTGCTGTCCTAGCTTGGGGTAGCCCCTGCTGGCTCTCCTAGGAAGTGCAGTGGCTCTTAACCTTGGCCAACATTTGAATTGATTGGAGTGCTGAAAAAAAACTCCAAACTCGTGCCAAAGCCCACCATCAAAGATTCTGATCTAATTGGTGTGGAGTGGAGCCCCGGCAGGTATTTTATTTTTTAAGGGTTTCCAGGTGATTCTAATGCGGAGCCAGGGATGAGGCAAGAAGAATGCTGGAGTCGGGACACCTGGGTTTGAATCCAGTTGGTTATTATTCCACGGCCCTGGAGCTATGCCACTCGCTTTCTCTGAGCCACAGTTTTCCTTCTCTGTCTAATGGGGATGATTTCGGCTTCAAATAACGGTAATATTAATGCGAGATGGTGGAGGTGAATGTGTTTTGAAAACTAGGAATATAAAATGGGAGGGGTTATCATGGGGCCATTGCTGGGGTCAGCTCTCATGCCAGCCCCATGCCCCAAGGTTGCTAACTTGCTTGGGTCCTTTCTGTAACGTTTTTGTAGAGTGCCACAGAGGATGCCACTATCTCCCTGCGCAGTTCCATGTCACTTGCCGGTAGCCGTTTTGTATGTACTCTAAACCCTCTGAAGCGGTGGGTTTAATGGGTGTGTGAGCAGCCCCTCTGCCGTGGCTCTAGCTACAGAAGCCGCACTGATGTATAATATAACCTAGAAACATTTGCTAAGAGAAGGTTTAATTGCATCCACGTGGGAAGATGGTGGCTGGGCAGGGAACTTGAAGATGTCAACCCAGTTGCTCACCCTCTGCCAGTTGGCAGACGGGTGTTATACTGCCACTGTGTGGCAGCATAGGGGAACTGCAGCTGAGTTTACCCTAGGCCTGGGAGTCTATTTTGCTTAAGAGGTGGATGGGTAGTCTCAGTCCAGAATGAGTCAACTTGGGCCGCTTGTTAAACTTGGGGAATAATGAGACCTATCCCTGAGCTAGAACCTTAGGAAAGGACCTGGCAGTCTGCATTAAAACATGCCTCCTGAGTGATTCTCATTTGTAGAATCACCTGGTTTCTAGGTAACTTAACTTGTAGGATTCAGGGCAAAATGAAATTTCAGAGCCCCTTGTTCAGAAATTATTAAGAATTTCAAGACAGCAACAGCAGAGCATTGCGCCAAGCACAGGGCCCTGTGTGCTCGCACAGCTTGCTTGCCCTGTGCTTGCACCCTCTGAAGTTGGAGAATCAGCGCGGTAGTGACCGCACCTGTCAGGTGTGTCTTGAACACCAGCTACGTAGGATGTGGTGGTTGAAAGCATGGGCTTGGAGGTGAGGCAGTCTTGGAACAGAATTTGGATTCTATTACCTATGGCTTATGTAACATTGAACACATTTCTAACCTCTGAACCTTATTTATTTCATCTTTAAATATTGAGATCATTTCTATCTCAAAGAATTGCTTTGAGTATATAAAATAATTTCTGTCACATACTAAGCACTGCCTAAATAGACTTAGTATTGTATCCTAGGCTCAGTGTTAGGGTTTTAGGATATGATGGTGAAAAAGATTATGGTGCCGGTCCTGATGGGCTGACATTCCAGAGGAGGGAGAAAGCCACAGAATTCCATGATGACCAGGGGTGTGACAGAGGTATACCCAAGTGCAATTAAGAGGAATAGCTATGTCTCAGAAGGGGTGCAAAAGACAGAATTGTAAGAAAGAAGTAGGAGTTCAGGGAAAGGAGGTGTGTGTGTGTGTGTGTGTGTGTGTGTGGCGGGATTCAGACAGACAGAGCAGCATGAGTTACACAATGATAGTAGAGACCTACCGGTGGTAAAGGGAGGGTGCAGATAGAGGCGTAGCTGGAGAGGAAGTCCGAGGAAAGCTCATCAGGAAGGACGTTGGGTGTCTTGCTGAGGGATTTCACCTTTGGACTGAAGCTCCCAAGACCCAAAGGAAGAATTTAACCAGAGGATGGGCATGACCGGATGTATGTTTTAGCAAGGGAACGCCAACTGATATGTCTAGCATGGAGGACAAGACACGGAATGGAAATGGGTAAAAAGTTCCGGCAGGATCCAGGTGAGAAGTGAGTGTGATCTGAAGTAGGCAGGGGAGGTGGAGAGAAGGGTCAGATTTAAGAGTTGTCAGTGAGGTAGCTTATTTCTGGGGCTTCTTGGATGTAGGGGGTAAATGGAGTCAAGACTGATAGATGGGGGCCAGGCTTGGGCAACTGGGTAGATGGTGGTGCCTTTGTCTGAGATACCAAATAGAGGAGGAAGAAGAAGACGGGAGGAGGTGAAGGGAGATGAAGAGGAGGTGATTTAGGGAGAAAGATGGTGAGTTCAAGTTTAGTTCTTAGTGTTGAACTTGTAAGATATAAGATACAAGATAAGAGCGACAAGGTACCTGAGCTTACAGGATGAGTTCAATTTGGGCATGTTGAATTTGAGTTGCCTGGGTGGGGGCAGGGGACGTGCGCTGGGTGGTGAAGACATCCTCGACTTTCCCTTCATACTTATCCTGGCATCCAATTCAGGAACAAGTCACATCTGTTCTATCTCCATGACATTATTCATATCCATTCCCTTCTCTCCCTCTCCTCTGTCACCTGCCCAGTGAGAGAGGGGATGGCCAATGGAGCAAGTGGGGAGAGCAAAGGAAGGGGGCTGTCCCTTGGAAACAGAAGGGGGACTGAGTTTGGGGGAAAGAGAATGTGATGGCCATATGGGGAGAAGCATGCAAGTGTGTTGTAGACGTGGGGGGTAAGTGGGAGGGAGATGACCTGGTTAGGGGACCTTAGCAGGTCCCCAGGCAGGAAGTGGAGCCTGGGGATTCTGAGGCGATGTCAGCACACACGATGGTGGGACTTTCCCCTTCAGGGCTCAGCAGGACTGTGCTGGAGTGACAACATTGGTGAGGCTTATCCAGGGCAGGCAAGAACCCAGGCAAGTAGAAGCTGTCAGTGGAGCCCCGGGCTTCGGTCTCCCCAGGGGAGGAAGCAGAGCCCGAGAGCGCTGATGGATCAAAAGCTAGAATGGGGAGACCGAAGACTCTCATTCAGCACTAAGTAAAATGCTGACGCTGCTGCCCCCTCGCTCCGCGTCTCTCATTGTCACAGTAGACTACGACTGGGGTGGGAGGCTGGGCTTTTCACACTTCCCACGTGGAACCACGTGGTACCAAGGCTTGGAGGGTGGCTTCAGTGGATGGAGGTGAGACCCTGTAGAGTTGAGGAGTGTCACAGAGCAGTGTTTCTAAAAGTGTGGCCTCGGACCAGTCACGCTGGTCCGCTGGGGGTGAGGGTGGCTGACACGCAGGCTCCAGCCCAGTCTTACTGGATCACAAGGACCCCAGGTGAATGTGTGGTCACTGAGGTGCAGTGTGGTCATTGTCCCGATGACCACTGAACTGTGTGGTGGGGGTGGGACAAGGGCTGGAGCAGCCGGGAGCCAGAATCCTAGGAGTTATATGAGGGCTGTAAGGGGGGGGGGGAGAGCCCCAGGGGAGTAGAGGAGCTCAGGGCTGCGACAGGGGCGAGGTGAGCCCCAAAGGAGGAGCCGCAAGTGAAGAAGAGTCCTGCTTACACCCCCTCCAGGCAGAATGTGGGCGATGCAGGGTGGGCAGCTTTCAGGGGAGAGGCCAGGGGACAGTCCCAGAGCAGGCGGTGCCACGTGGGGTGCCATGTGGGGTGCCCCCAGACCAGCATGGCCTTCCTGCGCGTTATTCTTCCTGACCCCGCCCCCACGTGTCAACACCCCTACAAAGGAAAGTGGGGATGGCCCCCAGTCCCTCTCTGCGCCTCCTAGTGCAGCTTTCACACCCTCCATCTTTGCCTTCACTGGGCCTTGGCTGAATGACCCCACATCCGCAAAGCTATGCCAGGGAAGAGTTTTCGCCACCCAGCGACCCTTCAGGGGTCTGTCCAGTGACTGGCTAAGCCCCTTGCCGGGCAGGGATGGTCCCAATTACTCCATGTGACACATGACTCAGACAGGGCAGGGCACAGGGTTCGGGCTGGGCAGAGTCGAGGTGCCACCAACTCCATCTCCCTGCTGTGCCCATGGACTGGGAGGCCCTCGTAGGGTGCGGCCAGGGGGATGCCTGAAGGGCAGTGTGCTGCTGTGGGCTCCGCAAATGAAGAGGGGACATGGAGGTTGGGAGGAGAGGGGGGGGGGGGGAGTGTAGGAGGAAGGAACGCCGACAGAGTGACTGAGACAGAAAGTTGGACAATGTAGCAACTATGCTCCTTAAGCCCCAGAAAGGTTGAAATCAGAGTCACTAGCCATTTCATAGCTTTTCTCCTCACTGGGCAGAAACAGCCGGTGGGCTGAGTGGGAGAGGGAGGTAGGAGTCCCCTTGGCCAGAGTTTCCCAGGAGTTAAGAGCTTACAAGGCACTAGAATAAGTGACTGAGGAACATTCTAGAAATGCCTTTGTTAAAATCCTCTCCAAGGAGAAGAGACCCGTCATTTGCTTAAGGGTAGATTAAGGCCACTTTATTTAATAAGAGGGGCTGAGACTGAATGATAATAACTGTAGCTAAACACGTATTGACTACTTGCTGTTCTAAGTGCATTGTATATGTTAACTCACTGAAACAGTTTTGAAGGGACAGAGAGGGGCACCCAAGTTCTGGATGGGAGGGTGGGTCTGGGGGCGGGGGTCCCCTCTGTGCTGCCTTCACCTGGTCCTCTCTCTTTCCCTCTGGAGTGTGGCCTAAGGAGTGTCCTCACCCTTCACCTACCTTCCCTGGGACCCGGAGGAAGCTGACGCAGGCTAACTGAATGCATAACTTTATTAAATAAATGCTTTGTCATGACAAACGACAAAGATCAAGGAGTAACATAAATTATAAGTTGAATAAATAGTATACAGCAATCTTCACTTTTTTAATAAAACGTGAGATCCTCTGTTTTTTCCTTTTTTATTTCCTTAGGTACAAAATGCTAAACAGGAGGCGAGTTCTTCCGCATTCAGGTGATTTTTTTTTTTCCCCGCTTTTATTTTTTTTGTCACCACAAACTGGTTTTGTTTGTTGGTTTGTTTTTCCATCGTTTTCACCAGTAAAGATTATGAGCATTTATTTAAAAAAAAAAACAGTTGAAAACAAAAAAGAAGAGAAAATAGAGCTATGGTATGTATGTATGTAAAACTATCAAGAACTACAGTAATATGTGCTGTGGTTATTGCTGTCTTAAAAAAAAAAAAAAAACCAAAAACACAAACCGGTAGGCAACTCGGAATCTGAAAGATCTTGTCTGACAACTGTCTATCCATGTGGGCTACTGTGTGACAGTGGTGGTGGCAGGTGGGACTCAGGCTGGTGTCTGGGGACCAGAGAAGTGGGGTGAATGGGCGCAGGGCGGCTGGCCCTCCCCCACCCCCCTTTCCCCATCCAAAAGGAGTTTAAAGAGAGCAGGCCAGAGTCTGTGGAGATGGCTAAGCTATATACTCCGTTAGAAAACCAAGAAAGTATGCTTAAAAAAGGACACAAAACCTAAGAGAAAAAAAAAAAGTGAAAAGTGCAAAATACATCTTGCACTTTAGTGGTTTTAAAAATAAAGACAGTACAACGCCCAGGTTGCTGGCTGGTAAAACCCCATCCCCTTGTCCCACCCCTTCTCAAAACTTAGCATCCTTTCTCTTGGAAGCCACCAAGGTCCTCTGTGAGGCCAGAGAGTCTCTTCTCCTTGGCCCACTCTTCTGAAGTTCCCATTCTGAGCTGGAGCCCTCTAGGGACTCAGCAGATGCAGAAGGGGAATGCTGCCCCCTCTAGAGGGAGCTTGGTGGTTGCCATGGCAGCCAGTGGCTGCTAAAGAGCTAGGTGGTAGAAGGGTGGTTACAGCGGCCCACCTCCCTCAGAGGAGGCTGACCCTGCAGGGTTACAGTGGAGACCACCAAGTTGGCGATGGGAAAATGGGCAAGAGGAGAGGAGGTGGGACCACACAGGGCCTCTTGGGCCACCCCTTCTTCCCCCCGTGTGGGGGTTGAGTGTCTCCAGGCCTGCCTGTCCAGGCCTGGCTGTCGGAGAAACTTCCGCGTCTCTCCTTTCCTAGACGCCCTGCTTTGCCGGGGTGGGTAGGGTGGCTCTGGGGGAAGGAGAATCAGTCCTGGCTGGGCCTCCCTCCATCACCTGGCAGCAGTGGGGTTATGGTCTGCACCGCTGGAGTGAGGCGTGAGTCAAAAAGGGGATGGGAAGAGATGTCCTACTGGGGGGCAACGTTTAGACTAGAGGCCAGAGAAAGTCTGGAGCTGAAGGCCTCTTGGTGAGCAGTCAGTGGCTGGCAGGCGGCCTGGAGTCAAGGAGATGCCCACTCAGGACTAGCTGGCTGGCAGCGGTCCACACCTGCCTCCCTCCCACCCTGCCCAGGGCACGGGCTTCATTGTCCTCAGTGACTCCCTCCCCATGGTCTCCCCACTCTGGGCTCAGGCCAGGTCTTCCCTTTGAGAGGTTTAGTTCCATCGGTCATGAAGGTCCAGTGTCCTCTAGAGATTGGCCAGCTGACCAGAATCACCCCCTGCAAGCCCTGGGGACTCACAGGTTTGGGTTAGTCGTCATGAGCTTTGGAAACCTGAAGAGACTGGTGGAGTTAAACCAGGCCACAATCCCCACCTTGTGGCTGACAGCAAAGAGCTGAAGGAAGGGGCAGAGGCCCATTCCAAGTCCAGTAAACAGTGTGGGGAAAGGGAGAGCCCTCTCAGGAACCAGGTCCAGGTCTGGGGAAGGGTTGGGCTGGGGTATACAGTTCCTGGCTCAGTCTTTTCTTAGGGGGAATGGCACCCCAGTATCCACTTGGCAGTTCCGTTAGATGACTGCTCAAGATCCAAAGGAAGAATTGGGCAGAAAGAAGAGGGAAGTGGGAAAGATTCATGATACTGGCCTAAGACATAGAAATGTGAGTTGGGGGTTTGGGGACAGTTGCGCAGAGAGATGGGGGCATGCTGGCACAGCAGGTCAAGTAAGTCCTTGCAGCTGCCATTCCCGTCAGGCCCTTTGTCCTGTGAAGATTGACCATCTCTGCCATCCCCAGCCAGCTGTCCTGTCCGGGGGAGGAGGAGACATCCCCCCAGTTCCACAGCTGCATGTTGTCTGCTAGCTGGACTAGATTTGCTTGTTTGCTGTCCCTCTTCATTGCCCCAAGTTCAGGATTGGAGTGGTTTCCACGGTGTCATGGCATCGGGCAAGAGTGGAGAGAGCTGTGTTCACAGCGAGAAAGGGTCTCCTTGCCAGTGTCCAAGCCCCCTTTCCTGGCAGGCTATCTCAGCCTCAGAGGACAGCCTCAAGGCCACCCATTTGTTGGGGAAATCAGTGGAGAATGGGATCGTTCTTGGTTCCGAATGTGGCTGTCACATCACAGCACCTCCCAAGCGTCCATTCCCTGGTTGTCCTGGGCCTTTCTTCCATCCTCCACCCCAGCGAGGAAGCCTGAACTGACCAGAGTGGATGAAGAGCTTAAAAAGACTCCCTGGCCTCAGTCCCTCATTGCAGGGTGAAGGTGGGCATGTGAGCACATTGTCTTGTCCCTTCAAAAGCCAGTCTCTCCTGATCCTTGCTTGTGTCCAGCTGCTAAGTCGAGAACCCACCTAACGCTACCCACCTTCCATGTCTCTAAGGCCTGGACTGAGCTCATTTCTCCCAATCAACCTGTCCCCCTATTTTCCTCTCTCCTGCCTCTTGAATCCCAGAGAGCTTCTAGGATGGGGAGCCAGGAAGTTTTTCTTGGTTTGTCCCCCTTTCTGTTGCTTTGCTTCAAAGCTAGAATGGGGCTGTCAGCCCCCTGTTCCTCCAGCCCCCGGTCCCTTCACTCCATCTGCTCTGGCCTGAACAATCACTTTTACTGTTTCCCTGCCTTTAAAGCGTTTCCTCTCCATCTCACTCTTTGCCATTTCTCCTTTCAGTCTCTCTCCTACTCTGCCAGTGTGAAGTGAGAGAGGCTTTCACAATGCAGGCTCTGCCCGGATGAAATGGAAAGGCTAGGCAGGACCAGTAGGTCACAGTTGGACCTGTTGGGCTCGTTCAGGGTGGGGTCCAGAGATGCTTACTTCTGGAGGATCTGAAGATTAACATGGGATGTACTGGGGAGCATGGTGGGTGCATGAACACACGTGCACGTGGGAAATCATGAAAAAAATCCAACACTGTGTCCCACAAAGGGTTGAGTCTGCTGCTCATGGGAGGCAGGCAAAGCTGGTGTTATAGGTTGTGTTAGAAAAATATGGGTTTTCTTGGTTTTCCCAGAATGAGGAAGCTCCTCATTGCCCCCATAGGAACTACGCTGAAGAGTTAATGCAAACCTTTGAAAGGAAGGAAGGAAGAAAAAAAAAAAAGAAAGAAAATAGATTTATATGCCTATATATGACTATATGGAGCCTTGTAGATAAATACAAGCCCACATTTTTTTTTTTCAGCCTATCCTCCCCCACAGAGGCTGTGCTAATTGAGAACTGAATGCGTTGAGGGGCTGAAACCACACGCTTCAGCTGGTAGCTTTTGTCAACAGGGGAAGAACAGGTCTTCCCACAATTGGGGTGTGTATTGATTTCTCAAAGTCTACATGGGGAGTGAAATATGCACACATACTTAATACTTATGTATCTGCACAGGGAAACCTATCTATCTAGTATCACTTGGTTATTCATTTGCTTTGTTTTGAGAGGAATGGAATGCATTTTAGTTTTTGTAAATTTGGGGGGAGAGAACACTCTACCGGGGTGAGAGGAGAGGAAGGAGGTTCGAGCCGCCCAAATTGCTGGCTGGAGGAGGAGACAGATCCAGGAGAGGCACTGGAACCTTCTGTCTTTTCCTTTCTCCTCCTGTGACCAATCCAAACTGGGAAAACTCCAAGTGTGTCATGGAATGCCACATCTTCGGGCCATACCATCTAGCGCCCAAACGTCTCCCCAACTCGGGCCAGGGCTGCACCTGAAAGACGGATCCAGCCACCGTCCCCATGATCTTTCCTTCCTGCCCACGTTCTTCTTTTCCTTCTCGCAACTCTGTTCATCTTTCCCTCTCTTCTACACCTTTGCTTTCTTCCCTTCTCTTTCTCCTGTTCTTCCTCTCTCCCCTTCCCTATTCATTCAACTTGCTTCAAAAAAGAAAACCACTGGAAAGAGGGGAGGGGTCTCCTTAGCTTTCTGCATCTCCGTTGTTGCCGTTTCCAAAGTTGAGACCTTGCTAGAGATTCCGAGGTCCTCAGTTTCCTCAAATAGATAGATATATGTATTTTTTCCCTTAAATGAGATGAAATGAGTGGCATCCTGGGGTGGAGGGAGGCGCTGGCTGGAATCAGGGCTGGGGGTGGGGTGGGGTGAGGGGAGAACGGGGAGGGGACACATCACTCAACGTTGCTGCTGTCGAAGGTGTGGCACTGAAAGTCCCCGTCGACATACTCCATGCCTGGCAGTTTCATCCCGTACTTGTCCACACACCAGCAGATGCCACGCTTGCGGCCACGGGAAGGCTTGCACTGGGGGTGGGGAGAGTGACAGGCAGTGAGGACGGCTGGGCCCCAAGGCTCTGCTCCTGCCTGTCCCTTCAGCTTCTTACTCCAAGACAGACTTGCACCCCCAGAGAGCCGAGGTGGCTGTACCCAACCCTTGAGGTTCTGGTGTGCCCACTGCATGGGGAGGGCCTGGGGAAAATGCTGATTTAGGGTAGTCTGCCCTTGGCTCCCACCTACAACCTCTTTTTTAAGTCAGCCATTCAGGGCCCTTCAACTTGGTATTCTCCCGAGAGCTATGATCTGATGATCTGATGAAGATGATGATGATAATAAATAATAAGGCATCCCTTGTGTAGCTTTACCATGTACAAGCACTACTACTTAATACTTACTATATAGTAGGTACTGTTCAAAGTGCTTTACAGAGATTAATCCATTACACCTTATAATCATGTGAGAATAATAGGTACAAGTATTCTCCATTTTACACGAGAAACTTGAGGCAGAGACATTAAATAACTGGGGCCAGACAACACAGCTCGTAATTGGGAGAGCCAAGAATTGACCCTAACTTAGATGAGGGGTACCCTTATAGAGTATCAGGGTCATGTGTGAGGGAACTTGTTAAAAAAGCAAAATTCTCAGAGTCCACCCCAAACTTACTGATCAGACACTGAGGAGACCTGGGGGTCAGCCATTAGTATTTTAAAAAGCCTGAAAGGTAATCCTGATACCCCAGGTAGCCTGAGAACACTTGACTTCATGTACGGCAGGCCCAATTGAATAGGCTGAGTACTACTGGTTAACCATCAGTGGGGTTGCCGGTAGCCTGGCTGTGAATGGGACATGAAATGATTTCACGTGGTACATGGTAAAAATGTGTTTTGAAGTCATACACGTGTGTATGCGTGTATATCAGAAAAGTAACACCTACAACATGTAATGTGACACAGTGATATAAAGTTTCCTTTTTACATGACTTCATGTAAATAAGGTTATTTACTTCCCGCAGGTTATAGTGTAGGAGAGAATGGGGACAATCACAATTGGGGTTCGTGCATGGATATTGGAGGTTCAGGAAACACTAATGTTAACGACAGAAACGGTAAGCATTTAGAAGTAGAGCCCTCCTGGCAAGTGCCCTTCCAGGAGCCCACGGAGCCTGGGGGCGTGGGGTGGGGGCGTACCTGCTTTCTCTTGTAGAATCCTTTGCGGTCGCAGTTGGGCAGGTACACGGCCCGGGGCACCATGCGTGGGCTAGCTTTGAGCTCCTGCAGGGAAGCCTCCATGTGTCTGCGGCAGGGGCCCTGTGTGCAGACGGGAGGGATGTGAGGCATGGCAGGACCCAGGCAGAAATCACCTAGGTGTGCAGGGCGAGTAGCCCAGGGTGTGGGGGCCAAAAGGTCTGTAGGGAAAGTCACCACCTGCTGTTCCAATTAGTTGCTACCAAAGATCTTTCCTCCCTCTCACCTGTCATACACCATGGGTGTATAAAGTATGCAAAACCTGCATTTTGACCAGGTACAGAGGCACACTGCCCCGTCTGTCTTCCACACCATCCACCCTCAGCTTTTCCACGCTGCTGGGAAATTGTTGGGAGGTGGTTGTGTGCGCATGCGCTAGGAGTGGTCCGTGCCTGCCTGGGTGAGGATAGAGCGCCAGGTCGTTCACACACCTGCAGGGTGCTCGTGTGCTGTGTGCTCGCTGTGGCCGGCTGGCGCTTCCTTTGAGGGAGCGCTGCCTCTCCTCCTGCTCACTCAGACAAGCCCTGCGTCCTGATAAATGTAAGCACTAAAAAATTCTCCATGGCAAGTGGTAGGTCCTTTGCTAAGCCTAGCCTAAGCACCTCCTGTTGCCACACATGCGCATTTAGATGCAGGGAAAGGTCAAAGGTCGGGATGATGGTAGATGCTGCAGGGTGCAGAAGCAGAGGGAGATGGGGGAGAATCCTTGAAACTCACCTGCTCAGATTCCTGTCTCATCTCAGGTGCAGCGATGACCCGGGGGTGAGCAGTGTTCTCAGCTCCCCCCACAAACTTGGACTGGGTCAGCTTCTTTCTGCGGTCCTTCTTCACGGCCTCAGCCTTCAGCTCGGAGATGCGGGTGTGCTTGGGCCGGAAGATCTTGGGGGAATAGGTCTCCTCGGCCATCTCGGAGGTGGTGGGGTCCTCATGCTCTTGGGAGTCTCTCTCTACAGGGAGAAGGAGGCGGAGGGTCAGCCTCGGCAGCTGAGGCACAGCTGTGCAGGGCCCAAGGCTCGGAGGTTGGGGTGAGGAGACGGGGTCTCTGTCCTCCCGGAGCTCACACACGAACCAGGGCACAAGAATCAACACTCAGGTAAGTGGTGGGAAGTTGTTGGCGTGATTGGAGTCCCGTAGAGCGAGTCTAGGAAGACTGCATGGAGTAAGAGTGTGTGGAAAAAGTAAAGCTGATAAATGAGGGCAAGTTTGACAGGAGGGAGAGGGATTCTGGGGGGGGGGGGGTGGGGAATGGGGGATGGTAGGGTGGGGGTGGGGGAGGAACAACAAGAGGAGGGAACCTAGAAAGCCAGAAATGTGGGGCCCGGAAGGGAACAGTGCTGGATGGTGTGGGGGGACGGAACCCCAAGGCCTCACTCCCGGCTCTGACTCAGAGCTAGCTCTGCATTCTGGGCCCTGGATAGGCTGGAACGTAGCTCCAGGCCAAGAGAGGCTGACAGCTGGCTGGGACTGGTGCAGTTATATATAGGAGTGACTTGGTGACAGTCTATACTTAGCTGACTTATGACCTTTACAGAAGTAGGACTTTGTTCATTATTTGTTGATCTGTTAATTTCACTGCCCAACCTTTTATCGGTCCACAGATTTCCATTAATTCTTATCTCACAGGCACCCTCCTCTGAGTCCCCATTTCTCCTCCCAGCTCCATAACCCCACCAGCCCAGGCAGATCCAGGTGGAGAGGTCTCCACTGCTCTTCTAAGGGGGTGGCAGGGTGTGGTCAGGATGCCCATGGCAGGGCATGCAGGGGCAGGGAGGCCTGCCTTCATTGTCCTCTTTTCAAATTCTAGAAAAAGAAAATAGGGCTTTGAGGTGACCCCAAATAGCTAAAATGAGGTGCAGGAAAATCCTGTTCTCTACCCACTTTGCTCTCACTGAGCTGCCCAGGAGCCCGGTGGCCAGGCACTGGGGTGGGAAATGGAAAGAGAAGGCAGAGGAGGGGGGGGAGGGGTGGGAGGTGCAGGGAGAGAGAACCTGGGTGTGAAGGCACTGTTTTGTGTCCCTGGGGCAGGAGCTCTCAGCCCAGGGGAAGTTCCAGGTGTGTGTTAAGGGAGGTATTTGGAGACCTGGCCAAACCTGGTCAGGATGGCAGGTGGCAGGAAGCACCCGAGCACCTGTTTGTGTCTTGGCTCAGGATTTGTCACATTTAATTGAACAGGTATCCGGTCTTTAAGGCCCTGGCAGGGAAGTTCCCCGCCCTGCAGAAGCCTCACAGGTTTGCAGTGTTCTGGGTGGTGAGCTGATTTCGGTATTTATTCCCAGGAGAGGAAGATGACAGGGAGAAAGCAAGTAGCAAAGCAGTGGGCAGGCTCTCCCTGAGCCAAATTCAACTCCAGGATCCCCGTCCCCCATGTTTGGCCTTTCGCTCCCTCTTCCTGCCATCACTTGACTCAGGGCTCCGTCTCTGCTGTATGAAAAGCTGCTGCGATGATTCACGCACACGGTGATGTGCCTGGTCAGTGGAATGTAGCCTTCTAGGAATTAGCTAAAAGAGTGATGCTTTGGGGGTAAACCAACTTTTCTTGGTTGTGGGACAAGCTAGAATGGGGGTGGGATGTAGGAAGGAGCTTGACTGGTTTGGGGGTTGGGGGGACGCTGTACACATGGAAAGGCTAGGGCCCTGTTTCCTAAAACTCGGTCTCAAACCTGAGGCTCAGGACTTGGGGAGAGGGTTTGAGGAGAGGGGAATGCTAACCATGGCATGGAAGTGTTGCTGAGCCCGTCTCACTGAGTGACTTGAGACTCTTTATACTCAACCTCTCTGGACATCATCAAGCATCCTAATCCTTAAAAAGCAGTTGGTGACTGGGGAAGAGGAGAGGCCAAGAGATGGTTGCCTTTGAAAGGCTGGGAGCATTCTGGGGGTGCATGGCCATAGCCCTTCTCTAGTCAAGCCTGTATGTAGCCAGATGAAGTGAGGAGAGGAGGGTGAGAGGGCTGGGGGCGGACCAGTGCATGGAAGGATGAGGCTCTCCTTCAGAGGCTGCTCCAGGAGTCGCCTCTCCAATGGGAGGGACCCCAGGAAGCTGCTCACCCCCAGTGGCTGGCTGGACCAGCTCCTGGAACCCTTCCAGTAAACCACCTAGCTCCTCCCCCTGTGCCCAAGCAGAAACAAGTACATGCACCTATCCCAGGAACACTCTTCCTAGTTCTTAAAGACTTCAGGGATGCCATCCATCCTCCTCTGGCCACCCGTTTTAGGGGGACTCCTCTGTCCCTTTAGTCAGAGGGTGTCATCTGCCAGATTTCATTTCACCTTCTCTCATAGGGCATGTCTCTCTCTGGCCTTGGTGGACATAGAAGTGTGTTGGCGTACAGCCCTGCATGTATCAACAGCTCTTGTCAAGACTCCTGACTTCAGAACGTCTAAGAAGTGCTGTGGGTTGCCCTTACCCTTGAGTCCCCCTTCCTGGGAGGAGGCTGTTAATGGTTCGATAAGCTTTGGGGTAAATGTACTTTGACCTCTTTTAATCTTTTCTCTGAAAGTGTTCAAGTATGGCCTTGGGGCTATGCAATGATGATGCTGGAAAACAAAATGTAGATTCCTGTATCCTCGTTAAGGAACTCAAAACACTTGCAAACCCTGTCTCCTTCTCTGGGCCTCACCTGGGCGGAGGTCCTGCGGGCATACCCTCCCCAGTTTGCAGGGTTTTGGGCTGCTTCTGAAGGGCAGGCTTAGGGTTTTGATGTGCCTCCTGGTTTTTGGTGCCACTTAACCCGACAGGACCTATTACTTAGGCAGGAGAGTTGAGTATCAAAGATACTAATCAGGGCCTTGTGGTCACCTGTAGGCTCCAGAGAGACAGTGGAAAGTTGGCGCGGAGCCAGAGCAGAGCCACGAAGATTAAAGGGCTGGAACGTAGGCCTGGAGCTGGAATGCCGGTGCCTGCTTAGCCCTGCTCAGCTGCTCTGTGGCCGAGTCATAAATAGGCTTTCACTTCGGGAAGGGTTTAAGTTTGAGATAAAACGAGAAGGTACCCGTAGGCTGGCAGCTCCTGAGCTATTTCATCAAGAGAACACGGGCCGAGGTGGCAGAAGGGATTTGGGTGGGACATAAGGGAGGACTTCCTGGTGAATTGCCCTGCACAGGAACAGCAACTGGAGGAACGGAACCATGCAGTGGGTTCTAGAGCCTGTTCCACAAACAGGTCAATACCTCCACATGGCCAGTAGATGGCGGAAGAGACCGATGGCCACACAGCATGTTTCCCGTGCTTATTGCTAGAGACTGTAAATAATTTTAAAATCTGGAATTCGTGTTGCTTCTCTCTCCTGTTTCTCTGGCAACCTCCCAAACCCTCTCCATCTCTCTGTGTGTCTGCATCACATATTTAAAGAGTCAGGGAGATGGACAAGCGAAGGCTGGAAAGGACCCATGTGAGGGGAGGGTGGACAAGGCAAGTGTGGGGACTGGAGGTGAGAGAAGGGGGCAAGGATTGATCTGTGCACAACCCCCTGCTGTTTCTTTAACCTGCAATTGAAAAGTGAGCAGGGGAAAAAGGGAAACATATCTGACCTCCTTTCCCATCTGTAGAAGTTAGTCATTTTGAAAGGATTCTGCAGATGGGCACCATAGAATCCTCAGTATTGTTCCCGCCTCTCATTCCATGATCTTATCTGGTGACTGAGGAAGCAAGGGCTATCATATAGTCCTGATATTTACCTGTGGGGTGGGTGGGCTCTGATTCTGCTCTGACTTCTACCCCCAGTCCTGCCAGCCAGCTCTCTGATGGTCCCAGCCCCTGCCATGTTAGGGTGGCCACTTCATTCCTCCTCCATTCATAAGGCACTGCCCATCTATACTGGTGCAGCAACATCCACAGAGGCACAGACAGGTACATGGGCCCTCCCCGTGGCAACATGAACACCTGCGTGAGGACTACCTAGCTCTCGTGACCCAGCAAACACAGTGGGTGCAGGGCCAGCCACTACGGACCAGAGGCATCCTCGGGTGGGCAGGTCTACTCACGGCACAAGTGCACAATGCACACTCCCTACCCAGGCTCCAGCGCGACCTTTTGCTGTCACTGTTTTCTTTCAGCAGTTGGATGCTTTAGGAGCAGAACCAGGTGCGTGCTCTGAAGCAGCATTCTGACCCCATCCCGCTCCCCAGTCACAGCCATGGATGGGTCCAGTTGGGGACCTGCAGCCCCCTGCATCTGTTCTCTCACCCTGGGGCTCTCAGTCATGCCCTGGCACCATTAACAGCCTGCTCCGCTCCTGGACTGGTGGTAGTTTCCCACTCTCTGGACCTCATATTCAAACTTCAGAGGAAACTGGGTGGCCCAGATCTTGCGACTTTGCTTACGGAAACGGAAGAAACTGAGGCGTACTTGGAATTCACAGCTCAGGAAGAATGTAGGGCTCTGCCAGGCCACCTGGACCCGGGGAGAGGAAAGTCTCTTTTTCTAGCCAGAAGGCAAGATGGGTTCGCCTGGAATCTCTCTACAAGGAATGAAGAGGGGAGCTGGGTTTCTACTGGCTCTCATTCTAGCTCCCTCTGTGGAATTTAAACAGTAAACTTCCTAAGGGTGGAGGTTTGCCATTTATCTTTGTCTCTGTGGCGTATAGTAGCCAATAAATAATCTTTAAATGGAGATGCATGGATCTATGCAAGAGAAAAAGAGAAGTGGGTCTTAGTGGCTTCTCTGTATATAACCTGGGGTACATTAGAGCTCAGTGGATGCCCTGAGAGGTCATTTCATTGGTGCCCCTGTCCCTAAGCATAATAACTGCCACAAAGGGAGCTCGAAGGCAGAGGAATGAGCCTCACAGGAGAGGGACAGAAGTAGGGATCTCCTGGGTCTGCTGGGCTTCTCTTGGGTCTGCACTGTCCGATACAGTAGCACTAGCCACCTGTGGGTATTTAAATGGATAGATATTAAATCAAGTGACAAATTCAAGCCCTTAGTTACTCTAGCCACATTTCAAGT